TAACCAAAAATTTTTTGGGTTATATAAAAACAACAAATATCTTAAAATTCGTTAAAGTTAGGGTTATTGATATACCGTATTTTCACGTAATAACGCCCATAAGCATTATTTAGAAAATCATATATCTTAAAAATATATGTATAGTCTCAAAATAACACCCATACACATTTCTAAATAATGCGCACCTCCATACATGACCAGTTGCAAACCTGGATTTTTTTAGCTGTAGGTCTTTTATAATATCAGATCAATGCATCGTTTGGCTAATTCAACATAATATTTTGGGCACTAATATTAAATTCAGATCGCAAACCATTACAAATCTTTATTTCTAATTCAGCATCAAAATTGTACTATCGAAAGGCCTTTGACCAGTTGATATTTCTATTATAATAATTCCAAAACTGTAAATATCAGCAGCTTGAGTGAATCATTCACCTTTCAAGACCTCAGATACAAAACTCTATAAATATGACCTTGTTTTTCATCAAACGTTATTGATAAACCTAAATTAGTAATATAAGCTTTATATTGTTATTTTAATAAAATATTACCTAAATGTAAATCTTGATATATAAATTTCTTTGAATGAATACATGATAGGTCATAAACAATATCACATAATATTTTTAATTTAATTTTCCACTCTGACTTAAAGATTCCTTTAATATTTTCACACAATTATCCAAATTTTGCGTAACTCATCACTAAAATAAAATTCCCAGTATTCTTATCCATTGATATGTCATAATACTTCCCAAATTCGTGATATACCTTTAACTAAAATTGACAAATTACCAGATATACAATTAATTCATAAACAATATAAATTTACATGTAAAAAAAAAAAACCAATACTTCATTTAAAAAAAGTTGATTACCTTTATGCGAATTATTTATTATCTTAATTGCAACTTCTTTATATGTTTCATATCGTCTTTTATATGATATTTTATGAAACCCTCCTTTACATACTTTTTCAATGTTTCTAAAATTATCGTATTCTATCCAACTGAAATTACTACAATTATATTTCATAACAGATGATTTTAAATACCATTTAAATGCCAAATTTTTATTCTTTTTTTTACTCTTATACCGTTCTGATAACATGAATCAGCACCATATATTCTACAACAATATTCATATTCGGCACTTTTCAAATAATATTCAAAAGCCTTTTGTTTATCCTTTTCAACTTCAGTTCTATATTCATAACAACATCCAACATTATATATCGCACCAGCGTGCTCGGTTAACTTTATTGGATATTTTAGTAATGTCTAGAAGATTGTCGATTTTTTCTGGTTGTTTGGCAATTAATATTTTGACACAATAAGAGAGTATGACTTCACCGAACACAGTATTGTGGTAGATTTACTGATATATATCAACAGATCAGCAGGTTATACACGTGAAAAAGACACAATATCTACAAGTACCAGAAAATCAGCTCTTGTTTCAAAATAACACCCATACGCATTCTCTAAATAACGTGCATATACTTAAAATAACACGCAGATGGGCATTATTACGTGAAAATACGGTATTTAAGATTAGAAGATAAGAAGTATATAGTAAAATTGGTCGAAAAAATCTTTTAATTAGTGTATAAAAGATGAAGTCTTATATAAGTTCTTAAGATAAATGATGTTTTTGTCAAAATGAATATTTGTTTTGAACTTTTCTGATCATATTATATTACACTAAGTTACGATTTTCTATTGGATAAATTTGCTATCAATTATTATGTGATTTGAAAAATTCTTAATCACCCTGGTAGATTTCGTTAACCCAGTTAAATATTAGAAGGATCAAATCCTTAGTAAGTTGAAGATCTGATATAAAGTAAATTGGCTACTTTAATAGATCATATCTAAGCCTTATGGTCAAGTAAGTCTTTATTAGAATAGAATATAGTACAAAAGATTATATCAAAATCACTATTCATGAAATATGGTTTTTTAGTACTTCTATAAATATAAAAAAAGCAGAATTGTCTAATAAAAAAAACAATCAAAAAATTTTTATCAGGATCTTTCAGCACTCTTTCTAATGATCATCTGGTCAACAAAAATCAAGAAACTGAACTATGGTCAGCACTATAGAAGATGCTTAAGTAAATAATAAACTTGGTCCTACAGAAGTAAAGGTATTGTCGACGAAATACCAAGAGTGTAAAACCAGAAAGCAGTCTACTTTGAACTGGTTTTGATAGAGGTCAAGCTTTTTTTCTGGCGGACTCCTCTATTTATTCGGCATCCAAACCAGAAGGATATTTTAGAAATACAGTACATCTTGGACAACACTAGGAGTATTACAAGCTTGAGGTATATCTATATAACTATAAAACTTACAAGAAACAACCACAAAAAGTTTTCATTGGCCCACTACTTTTTTTGAAGAAATTTTGTCAAAAGTGGGTGTTTTAGCTTACCCTCTCCAAAAGATTAATATGTAATTTTTCAAACAAGTCGGTATTGTTTATCTGTTTATATATAGATAGGACTTCTGAAACGGGATATCGGGCAGACGTTCAGAATAAGCAACCGTGTACAGACCGTATGACAATACAATGAATACACATGCCTCAACTGGAAAAACCATTTAATAATACTTCAAGACTTTCGTATTTCGGGCTATTCTGTCTTGTTTTAGCTGTCTTTTTTTTAAACTTTTTTAAAGTATATATATATTATTAGAATAGAATTAAATACAAAGCTTCTTTATCTATTAATATGTAATTTTTAAGGCCTAACACAGGCCTATAATTGTGATCTATCAGATTCTGTTTCTTTTTTTCCCTCTTTCGTCTTTGTTTTTTTTTGTTTTTTTTTTTAGTATTAGTTTTTATTTTTTTTTAGTATCTCTCCTTAGTATTAGTGTTAGTGTTAATAAACTTTTTTCTTTTTTCCACTTCTCTATGAGAAAATATCATCAGATTGGTGATATCCTATTGTAGAGCAGTGGTCTGATAGTGCTTTTCTGAGAGAGATAGTGTTTCTATTTTGAAACCTATCAAGACGTATTCATATGGATGTGTCTGCTCAGTGTAGCCAATTGCTTGTAAGTGCTCTTGAAGTAACTGCTAGATGCTACTCCTCAATATTATACAGAAATACTATCTTTTGATACCCAACAATCGAACGTAATAAAGGAGACTAAAGGCAAGATGGCCTAAGTGGAAAAAAAAAATAAAATAAAAAAAATAAAAAAAATAAAAAAAACAATATATTAAGATTATTAAATCAAAAAAATAATTAATATTAAAAATGTATTACTATTTTTAACTAGTAGTAATTTTACTATAAATACTGTATCTCAAAAACCTACTAGCTAACTTATATTTAAAATACTAAAAAAAAATATTCAAAACCTTTAAAAATCTAACTTTAAACAAAATTTAAAACTTTATATCTGATCTTTTTTTTAAAACTATACTCTAAATTTTGATAAAAATTGAGATAATGAAATCACTACTAGTTAAATATAGATTAATTTTACTAATCTTACTACTACTATATTAGATAGCTTTAAATAAGCTCTACAATTTTATTTAAAACTCCAAGAATAATTTACTTAATAAAAAAAGAATTAAGTATAAACAGCTGGTGTTTAGTATTTATATAATTTATATATAAATATTATATAATTCTCTAAATAATAGACAGATTATCAATTGTTATTTATCTTGTTTTTAAGTTTTTGATTATTGTTAGCTAAAGTTTAACTTTACTGTTTTTAGAATTTTTTTAGTTTAGATATCATTGTAATTATCAGCAAATAATCAGAGCAATTTATAAGCAAATCTTAATACAGAGGACCCTCGTTAATATCAACCCAAGCCACAAACCAAATTTTTATATATTTTTATATATTAAAATTCCCTTATAAATATCAACTCTAAATATAATCCCTTATTGATATCACTATCAACATGGATTTAAAATCAATCCAAATGGGTTGATATTAATGAGGTCATCTGTATCACTATTCGTATTATATTTTATCTAAAACATTACAAGAATAACTAAAATTGCTTTATAATTATTGTGCACTATCACTAGAAAATCACATAGAAAAAGATGTCTGAACGCCCTTAAATACATAAAATTCTTTTAATAGTTCTTTCTTCATATTTATTGATTTTGTCAGTTTCTTCATCTTTCGTCACCTTTCCTCAGCTTCGTTACCTTTCGTCAGTTCTTCGATGGTGATAGCACAAGGCATGCCCTCCTGGGTTATGTTGGCAAAAAAAATTAGGTGCATACCTATAGAGCAAGCACTTAAATTAAAAAAATAAAGGCACGCACAGTAGAACACGCCTAAAAATTTCTCGTGCCCTCTCCCTAGAATCGCCACCTTTGTCAGTTTCTTCGTTATTTCGCCATGAAAGTTCTTAATTGGCAAAAGACGAAATTATGTTTCGCGTTTCTTCAGGGTATACGACCAAATGCTCGACATCACAGATAGTGACAATTTAATATATTAGTTATAGGTATATATTGGTAGTAAATTTCCACCCTGTATAATGTCAGTAAACGACTTGTACCCGTCAAACCTCCAGATTTCGATTAACAACCGACTTTCTCCAGACTATCGTTCCATTATCGTTCCGGAAAATGCTTATTTTTCGAAACAAAAATATATAAATTCCTGGTGGTCATTTCTATAGAATCCTGATAAATTCCGGATAAAAATCAAATCCGGATAAGATTCGGCTTCTAATTATAACGAAGTACAAATATTATAAGCTGAATTTTACACGGATTTGATTTCTATCCGAAAATTACCGGGATTCTATGGGAATTGGAACGATAATGGAACGATAATCTGGAGAAAGTCGGGATACGTTTTTCGAAAAATTTTTATAAGGAATTATAACATCTCTAGGCTCCTTTTTGTTTGGCATAGAAGATAAATAAGCGAATATTTGTGTCATAATTATTATGTATCTTATTATCACGGCTCGACTACATATCAACCGGCTTTTTAGAAGAATGTCTACGGCAAACCGCCAACTATACACCAGGTCTGAATTCCTGATTAGTAACATTCGAAAGCTGTGGCCACAAAGATTGGGTTACGTATTAAATATTATTCTTATCATTTTATTATATTTGTAAAAAAAATTTTATGAAATCATGAACAGGTATAATTTCTTTTGGGTGAAAAAACGAAGAATATAACGATATCGTGATATATAAACAAAGGGCCACATCCATATACGGCAGTGTGAAATATCCCGATATTAGAGACAGAATCCTACATGACCACTGGCCACTGCTCATACAAAATTTTTTCGCTAAAGAATCTAACGAAATTAGAAGTTGGAATTGAATTTATTTTTGGATTTCCATATTTAAATTCGATAAATACAGAAGTGCAAAATTTTAAATCCGAATTCAATATACTTAAATTTTATTAGAGTCGAAAACCCGGAGAGTGAACCAAAAAACTTCCATAGACCTTCATAATTATTAAACCTTAGTTTGAACTATCGTAGTCAACAAAATTCCTAGAAATAATAAAAATTCAATTAAAAATCGAACCTATTAAATTCTCATAATGATAATGTAAATTCTACTACTGTTCTCAGGTCAAAGTGAAGAAACATTTTTTGTAATCAAGACCGAAACATTATTTTAGTTCATTAGCCTTAACATTTAATCATCATCGACAGCATTGAATTTTACATAACAGTCACAAAATATAAAGTATTATTAACCTTTCTTTATCTCCTTTATCTCCTATATGGATGTTTCCCGTCGGAATCTTACCAAAAATGTTAGATAACATCTTTTAAGTTAAATTGGGATAAAAAAAATGCTATCTCGATATGGTTGTAAAAATAACTGATAAAATGATCACAGATCATGAGACAGAATGTAATTGGCTTAAAACGAGAACCAATCAATGGGTATGTTCGTAAATTTTGCATATATAGTATGTACAAACTACAGTCGTACGCTCGTACGTACTGTACGTAAATACAGGTCGCCTCAGGTTAGACTCGCCGATTTTACTTTGGTTTTAGTTCCATATAAACGTGGCCATTTTTTACCATTAATACAATAACAATAACTGGTAGCTTTCCAGTTGGAGTCGAAAAAGGTTGGGTCAAAAAAAATCAATTTCATGCACTGATTTAAAAATAAAGAGGTTAGTTTAAAAGATTCTAGGATTTCAAATATTTTGCTTGTTGTTGACCATTATTACTTTAATTAGCAACTTATAGAAAAATCAACCATTACCATGCAATTCTCATCAGCAAATAACGATTCTTCACTTCACAACGCAGGAGATGCAAATGCCAATCCTTTTGAAATTTCTGCAGACGAAGATACTATTTCTGCAGATCCCAATATGACAATAGAATCTGATGATGTAGACCTTTCGTCCGCTCATTCAAATACATCGACTACTCCAAAGTCAACAACAACCGTTAATACAGATACACAATCGCCTCCTGTAGTAGAGACCAGTAATCAATCCAAACATTATGCTTCTGGAACCTTAGATGAACCAGTTTCACAAACTATTGTAGGTTTAAAACTTTTATAATTCTATTTACATTTGCGTAATTCTCATAAATTATTATAACATTTAAGCTTCGAGACCTGAAAAATGTTGCAGTTAAATTGCAACAGGTTCTTCATCCTAAGGGGAACAGTGATGTTTTACGAGATTGTAAATATATTCATGATTATTGTTGCTATTTATTCATTGCTTTTGTTATTAGTTGGATTAAATCAGTTCGCATTTTTATTATTATTTAAAAGGGGATTTGTGGGGTCCATTAATTCTTTGTTTGTCACTAGCCATGTAAGTGTCACTGTTTTATACGAAAATATCTCTTAATCCTACGTCATTCTAATATTATTGTTAATAATATTATAGAATATTGAGTATTAGTGCAAAAAAAAGTCAAGAAATTATGGTGTTTACTGGTGTTTTCATCATTGTATGGTTTGGGTCAGCTGTCGTGACGATAAACGCGAAACTTCTAGGGGGCGCAGTGTAAGTTGTAATTAATTAATTGCTCTAATTTATGAATTAACCTAATATATACGCATATAATTTTTTTTATCGGTGAATTTAGGTCTTTTTTTCAAAGTGTTTGTGTTCTTGGTTATTGTATATTTCCTTTAGTTATAGCAGCATTTATAGCAATTTTTGTTAAAATGGTCTACGTAAGGTTACCTTTGGTGGTATTGGCATTTCTATGGTCATCTTGGGGTGAGAAGCTTTTCTTACAAGTTTAATTTGATGCATATACACGTCACTCTGGTTATATCGGCACCTCAAAAAAATAAAGAATTGTCCGATGTATCCAGATTTCAAGTTTAACCAGAGGCATTAAGTATATAAGTTCAAATTTTTAAAAAATGTCGTTATATGCCGGTATATCCGGATGTTGATATAACCAGAGTAACGTGTATTAATTATTTCAGACTACTAATCTTTCATTATCTTATTTTCTTTATAGCATCAATTAATTTTCTATCATCATCACATTTATCAAATCGTCGTGCATTAGCAGTGTATCCATTGTTCTTATTCTATTTCTCTATTGGTTGGATGGTATTAATTTTATAGAACCTTAAAATTTTGAACTTAAATAATATGCATATAATAGGAGAAAAGTTTTATCTATTTCAGTATTTAGTTTAGTTTTGTTTTAGTACATATATTGTGTAAAAAAATTAGGAATAAAAAGTATTCTCTGTTACGATTTGTGTATTGAGTACCTATTGCTTTTACGAATTAGTTGGTGTCGTTTTTACTTCTCTTCATCTAACTATATATATGTGCTGTGCACGTCAGCTATTATCTGAGACAAAATCTTTCAGCCTTTAACAAATCAAAGCATGTAATAATTCTATTGTAACCTAGATAATTCCTTTTGTAAAGTGTAGAGTAGTAAAGAGTAAACATTAAGCATTAAATATGTTAAACGTTTTAACACAAAAAAGAAAAACGTCCAGACATTATCATGAGATCACTTGTAGGTGCATAACGACATTCCTAAAAGTCAAATTGTAAGCATACATTAAATATAAATTTTATTCATTAAAACTCATGATTTAAAGATTTCTGTTATCTAAATGATTTACATTTCCCATTCACACATTTTTCTTTTCATCTGATAAGTCACCGAAACTGAGTTGCAAGGCATTATTCGATTTAGCAGATTTTTGATGATAAATATCTATTTATTTATTATAAATTTATCACCATATAATACTGTATAAAGCCATTATTCTACGTATTAACTTTCTATATTTGACTAAAAATTTGACACTGTATTAATACTTTATTCAATTTTTTTGCCTCAAAATGTTAAAGATAGGCGCTAAGCGTTTACATTTAAACGCTAAACTATTTTTGAGAAATTGAATAATGTTATATAAGATGGAATATACTGCACATATTCAAATTATTTACAAAAAAGGGATTTAAGAAAAATAATAAATAAATGCTTCATATTCATTCCTATAAATTCCAACTACATTATTCATTAAATATTCAATCATTATGTCCCATCTCAGTAAACTTTTGAAAATAAGTGAATGCTTTATGTTCATCTTTTTCAGTTCCAATTCCATATTGATAACAGCAGCCAACTTGATAAGTTCCTTTGGCATTTCCAATCTCATCAGATTTCTGATAATAAATAAATGCTTTATGTTCGTCCTTTTTAACTCCAATGCCATTATGATAACAAGCACCAACTTTAAACATTCCATCAGCATTGCCCATCTCAGAAGATTTCTTATAAAGGATAAATGCTTTATGTAAATCATTTT